GGCCTTCACCCCCCGCCCCGGGGTTGGGGTCCCTGGGCCTGGAATCGGCTTTGTGTCCCCCCCTTCAGCCCACGGAGCCTCCGCCCCGCCGTCTCCCCGAGCTCGGGGGTTATTTTGGGGGGGGACCTGTCGTTTTTTTGGGGGAGAAACGCGACCTTTTTCCCCTCAGGATCTTCCTCTTCCCCTCAGGAGAGGGTTCGGGATCCCCCATGGCTCGATGTCTTACCGGGGTCCCTCCGGGAAAGATTCGGTCTCTTCCTGTCCCGGAGCTGAAAAAGAAAGGAAAATCGGGGGGTTTTTTATTGAGTTTTCAGAGGAATTTGGTGTTTAAATGGGGAAGGGCTTGGAATGAGGGAGAGGAAGAGGAGTTGGAGAGCGGGGAAGGTGGTGGCTGCAGTTCCCTCAGACCCGGGGAACGAGGCTGAAACCTTCAGGAAAAGGGTTTATCGATCATATCAAATTCCTGCCCGTGTCTGGGGTGGAAAAGGGCAGATTGAGGCTTTTCTCCCCCCTTTTTTTTTCTTTTTTTCATACAGGTGTGGGGACCAAACTGCACATTTGCCTGGTTTCCCCCAGCAAAGAGAGAAATTCAGGGCTCGCTCGTGGCCAACGTGCCAAAACACACGGCGTGGGGGCGGCTCTCGTCCGTCTGTCCGTCCGTCTGGGGTTTACTCACTGTTTTGGGTTCAGTCCCACTTTTCTTTTTTTCCCCTTTTCTTGCGATTTTTACCCGTTTATCAGTGGGGTGGCGCGTTGCAGGACAGGGAGATGTCAGCTCCTTCTCTCGGGGCGCTGCCTGCGCCTGGCAGAGTTTGAGGAGTTTTCTGGCCGTGGCTTTTTCGCTTCCCGAGCCTTTTCCAAGTCGAAATTAATACAATATTTTTCCAGTCCAGCAAATATTAGTCAGTGATGGAAAAAGGGCTGAGCTGACAGCCCTTGGGGTGGACGTGTTCCCTGGCTGAGCAGGTTCCCCACACTTCCCCCGCGGCGTTTTGCTTTACCTCTGCCTTTGGCAAGCCTTTTATTTTGGGACGGGGGGTTGGTTTGGAGGGGGAGACAGTCTCCAAAGCAGGGGGAGAAAATCAAGTTGAGGTGGGTTTTCCTTTAGCCAGGGGGAAAAACTTGATTTTTTTGGTAGGTAGAAAGAGAGAAACCACCTCAAATCAAGGTTCCCATCTGCCACGCTCCAGCAAACCCCCACTCCCCCAGTTTGTTTCGCTGCCACCAGTGAAGCACCCACATTCCCTGCTGGGAACGGGGACAACCTCCATGTGTGGGATTCTGCCAGCGTGTGGTGGCTCCATAAACTCCTCCTCATCGCTTTGTCCCCCTTGTGTCAGGGTAACCCACCAGCTCTGGGTCTGTTTTGGGGTAATGAGGGTGTCACGGACTCTTTCGCTTGTGTTTTGCCGATAGTTCCGTTCTTTGCAGTGAAACTGCTGCGGAGTTTTGCCATTTTTATGGGCCGCAGGTGACAGGGATCAGCGCTGTGCTTTTTGTAGCCACCTCTGCTTCCCTTCTGCTCGCCCATCTGCTGTTCATGCATCATCTTGCTTCCTTGCTTTTAACGTCTTCTAGCCCTGTGTTTATTGTTCTTTTCCCTCTTGTTTCTGCCCAGCGTTTGGGAAGTGTCTTGAGGACCTTCAGTGGGGTCTGAAAATGCAAGTTATTGGTGAAGTGGTTTGTTGAGGAGATTTAGATGGGATCACAGGAAGAACTTCTTTGGTGTGAGGGTGGTGAGAGCCTGGCCCAGGTTGGCCAGAGAAGCTGTGGCTGCCCCATCCCTGGAGGGGTTCAAGGGCAGGTTGGAGGGGGCTTGGAGGGACCTGGTGTGGTGGGAGGTGTCCCTGCCCAGGGCAGGGGGTGGCACTGGATGGTCTTTAAGGTCCCTTCCAACCCAAACCATTCTGTGATTCTAAAAGTGTCCCGTTGGCACAGGAGAGAGGGTGAATTTAATAGTCCTTGTGCAGGGCGGAGTGAAGCGCTGTGGTGTGGTACTCCCAGCCTTATTTTCTGCAGTTTTGGGGAATTCATCGTGGGTGCTGCAGCGTGGGGGGAGGCGAGCGGGGGGGCTGTGAGGTTTCCGAGGGACGGCGGTGGCTGCACGACAGGGAGGGTGGCGTGAGATAACGGGGACCGGGCTGCGGTGATAAGAGGAGCCGGGTGAGGAGAGGGGAAATAATTGGGCTCACTGTGGTTTCCTCCACACGTTGAGGTGGTGGCTTTTCTGGAGAAGGGACGGGAAGGCTCTGGGAAGAACCAGGTTCTTCTGGCAACACCATTTCTTTCCTTGGTTTCTCTTTCTTTCCACACCATGCATCTCCTGGCCTTGGCTGTGCACGGGAGGATTTAACACATTCAGTTTGGGTTGATTTGCGTTCGCTGGTGGAATCTGGCACTCTGGATTGGGGTTCCTCACTCCATAAGTAGGTTCTACCCTATGGCATCATGCAAAATCCAGCTGTTGGGTGGTATCTGTTCCTGCATCCCTGCCCAGGTCACCTCCAGAAGCGGGTGCCTGCATCCCTGCCCAGGTCACCTCCAGAAGAGCCCATGTCAGTACCTGGCCAGCCTTCTAAAATACCCTACAAACTAGATAATCAAAACACAGCAAAATGAAATCAGTTTGTTTTAACAGCGGAGCAGAATGGGTCAAAAGCATCCTAAGCTGTGCCGCTAACGGGTGTAGCGTGAGTGCCGGGTGCTTAATTCATCGTCTGAGGCGTTAAGGCCGAACGCTCATAAATCCAATCCCAGCAAGACGACAGAGGTAAAACCTCACTTAAACTGATTAACTTGTCTCTTCCAGAGCCTCTGCGCAGGGAAACTGCCATTTAAGATTTGGGTGTGCAGCTGGGGTGTATTACGAGCTCGCTTGCTCTGCGGGCAGCGGCGTGACTGAGTCAGGCCGGGCGGGAGGCGTCCGGGAGTGAGAGAGGATGCGCTGGGACTCTTCCCATCACACACGAACCTTAATTATACCAGTAATGTCTTGCAAACCATCAGAGCAGAGACCACGTGCCTTAATACAGGCTGGAAACAGACCCGTGTTTGCACCCAGTGTGGTGTGATAGCGCTGAGGCTGTGAGGTGTGTGGTTAACGAGAAGCCTGGAAGCTCGTGCTGGTTTCCAGCTGTGAGGTGTGTGGTTAATGAGAAGCCTGGAAGCTCGTGCTGGTTTCCAGTGGCGTGTGTTTCCCTAATTCTGGTGGCTCTGGTTGTTGTTGTCGTACGTGGTTCTTGTTATTTTTGCTTTTTCTGTCTTGTCTTACTTTGGCACCGCCGCTTTTAGAGTGCATTAGAGGGATTCTTTGTAATATTTCTGAGTTGCTGCATTAAAGCAGTGAAAGTCTGTAGTGTCTTCCAGACTTTAAGACGTGTAGGAATTGGGTTTTTGGGATGTTCTTTTTGGATCTGGTACCTGCGATAGCATCGCGCAGAGCCGTAGCCCGTCCAGGCAAGGGCTGTGAAAGCTTCTCCCACACAACTTTGCCAGTCCCGACCTGTGGGAAACCTGTTGTTGCCGAACCGGCCTTTTCCAGCCCCAGAGAGACGCGGGTCTTGCTAAACGGGGTGGGAAACGTGAAATTCAATCCTATGCCCCACGGGTTTAGGCCGAGTTCTCTGGCGTTTCTCGCTTTGGACTCCTTCCAGGGGGTAGGAGGCTGCTGAACTGATCTGTCTGGTCTCGTCATCCTCCGACGGAGGCACAGAAACCTCCATGCTTAGCAGATACCATTTCTGAGAAGTTTTGTTCCCATAAAGCATTTCTCTACTTACTTCTTCTTGGTTTGTTTCCCTGTAATTCAGGACATCTGTAGGTATTACAGATCTAATGGCAACAGATTACTTATTTCTTTTTGGTTTGTTTCCCTGTAATTCAGGAATACCTGTAGGTATTACAGATCTAATGGCAACAGAAATGTTCCCATGGTGATTATTCATTTTTATCTCGGCGTGTTTTTCTGTTTAATCTGCAGACCCCACGTTAAGTCAGGTTATCGTAATAGAGAAGGATGTGGCTTTGTGTTTTATAGTCAAAAGAAGTGAATTCTTCCCACCACGGACTGACCACAGGCTCGGGAGAGGTGTCTTTGGGTGCTGAACCTTGGAGTCTGGATAGAGTTCCATCACTGAAGTAAACTGGAAATCACTGAGCTAATCATTGAGGTCCCTGTAAAACTGGTTCTTCTGGGGAAGCGTGTTGTGGGGAAAAGGCAGAGATGGTAGATATTGGACTGGATCATCCGTGGATCTACCCCGGAGGACACTGCCTGCACGTGTGCAGTCAGTCCCTGGTCAGTAGGTGCTGACTCGGGGGGAGATCACGCTGTAGAAGATGGTTGTGACTTGTGAAATCGTAGAGATTGGGCTTTGGGAACGTGTGGCCAACAGGCCCCGCTCTCCAAAGCCTGGCCTCTAATTAAGAGAGACCAGCCCTTCTCCGAGACGCTGGGTTTCGAGAAACCGTTGCTGGGTTTCGGTCAAACCAACTCTGTGTCATCGTCCAACCACTTACCCTCTGAGGTCTCTCTGTGCCTGAGGTAGAGGTGCTTTGGCAGGTCCTGTCCGTGGTGAGCACTGCACACCTTCCCTTCTGACGCTTGAGACGGGTCCGGAGGATTTACTGGGAACGCTTTCCTAAAACAAAATAAAAATAAGGAAAAGCAAGATGTCTGCTTTGTCACGCGCGGTGTTTCTCTCTGCGCTCTCTCCATGAACAGATAGTCTATGCGGAGCGGCCCCTGACCGACAACAACAGATCTTTGGCCTCCTATGGCTTGAAGGACGGGGACGTGGTGATCCTGCGACAGAAGGAGGTGGTAGAGCCACGACCCTCCATCCGTTTCCCAGGTGAGAGAGGATTTGTGCCAACTTCTGCTCTGAGCATCCAAAGATCTCAATATGTATCAAACACCGACTCCATCTCTGCTCGGTCTCCTTTAGCTCTTCCTTGGGCAAAACACTTAGGAAGGAGAGTGGTGAGGGATGAGGCAGGGACTTTTAAAATTGGCTAAAGGGCTAGTTATTTAATGGATTTTTTTTTTTTAATTCTAAGGAAACGAGTGCCATTTTGCTGTTCTTTTGGGGAAATGGAGAGCTGGTGAGGAAGGTGACTGGTTCAGAACAGCAGTTTTTGTTCAGGGGTGTGACTTTTCATACAACTGCTGCTTCCCTTCCCGCTCAGAGTAGCAGCCCCATAACCTCAGTCTGTGCAGCTCTGACATGTTAAAAGGCTGTTGTGTTGTGGTTCGTGCTGCCAGTCTGCACCGTGACAAACACCCAGAGAAGATGCATCTTGACAAACCCAGTTACACAATCCTGCGCACGCTCCAGAAAGTCCTCAGATAACATCTGAGCGGAGCCCTGCTCCTCTCTCCTGCCTTCTGCACCCATTCCTAGCAATTCCCCCACAGAAAATATCCCTGGAAAAGGAAGTCCCGCTGGCTGAGAAGGACGTGGGAGCGTTGCTTGAGGTCCTCGTCCTCCTGCCTCAGCTGGAGGATTGGTGCCTGCAATGCAGGGCTCCAGAAATGGTACTACTTTTTTTTTTTTTTTTTCCCCCCAGCTTTTTGGTTTTTTAATCCGAAGATTCAGAAGAGCCTTAGAGACACTGGGTTTAGCCCTGCCATCCCTCCCTGTGATATTCCCATTTGTGAAGCTGGAAGTAACTTGTCTGTGTTTCACTAAAGTGCATTTCAGGGGATTAAAAATGGGCCAGATAGAAGGCTGGTGCAGTTAGAGCAGTATGAGCTGGCATTCCTAACCCACTAACCCGAGCGCATGGCCGTGCTTCCGACACGAACCGCTGTTCACAGAATCTACTCTAATACCGTAGCATTAAGAGCAGCTCATCCTTCTTGCAGTTTTTCCACTGTGTTTTTCAAGCAGAACGGTAAATGTGAAGCGCTGACACCTCTGACTGTTTTTTTTTTCCCCCTCTCTCCAGGTCTGCCGAGGATAGACTTCAGCAGCATCGCGGTTCCTGGGACGTCCTCGCAGCAGCACCAGCCACCGGCGCAGCGTCTTCGCCCGTCGCCCCCCGATGCGCCTTCGTTCCCTCAGGGTTTGGACAATCCGGCGCTGCTGCGGGAGATGCTGCTGGCCAACCCCCACGAGCTCTCCCTGCTGAAGGAGCGCAACCCGCCCTTGGCGGAGGCTTTGCTCAGCGGAGACCTGGGTACGTTGGGTTTTCAATCTGCGGGAGGGGGGGTTCATAGAATCATAGAATGGTCTAGGTTGGAAGAGACCCTTGGGATCATCGAGTCCAACCATCTCCCCTACTCTACAAAGTCCTCCCCTACACCATGTCCCTCAGCACTGCATCTAAACGTCCCTTAAACACAGCCAGGGATGGGGACTCCACCCCCTCCCTGGGCAGCCTGTTCCAATGCCCGACCACTCTTTGGGTGAAAAATTCCTTCCTAATGTTCAATCTAAACCTCCCCTGTTGGAGCTTGAAGCCGTTCCCTCTCGTTCTGTCACTAATTACCTGTGACAAGAGACCAGCACCAACCTCTCTACTGTGTCCTTTCCAGTAGTTGTAGAGTGATGAGGTCTCCCCTCAGCCTCCTCTTCCTCATACTAAACAGTCCCAACTCCCTCAGCCGCTCCTCATACGATTTGTTTTCCAGCCCCCTCACCAGTTTCGTTGCCCTCCTCTGCACCTGCTAAAAGGCAGGCACAGATTTTGAACTAACTGGGATACTCGCTGCCAACTCATTGATGGTGCTGATAAAAGGTGCCACTTTGCAGTACTGAAGGCAGAGTTCCTCTCCTAACAAGACTTCCTGGCAAATTGAGGGTATTTCTCTTGTTTGGCTTCTTTAATAGCCTCTCTCCTCTACTTTGAAACATCTAATACACAGATAAGTCAGGTTTCTGTGAGCACAAGTGGCTCAGCTCCCGATTTTTGTGCAAAGGCTCCCTGAATTCATGTTTTCCCGTAATGGTGTTGTGTTTGCTGCATCCCAGAGCGCCCTGAGACTCAACAGAGCAGTGTCCCTGAGGGCTTAGCTGCTACAGAAGCAGACAGCAGAGAGGGAGAGGAAAAGCAACAAGTAAATGGTGTCTTTAGGGAGCTTTTCCAATAGAAATAGACACAAATGTTTCAGTCTGTTAATCTTGAAGGTGTTCACGTATTTTGGGCACAGTTGGAGTCTAGTCCCTGTCCTTCCCTTCCTCTGCAGGTGAGCAGTTGATGCTGGTCCCTCATTCCTCATGTGATGGAAGCTTTGAACTCTAGTGTCCTTTCAGTATGAGAACAGGGTGGTGGTTTAGCCATCAGAGGATGTGCTTCTGAACATCTGCAAGTCCTTTAGTTAGGAAATAAATCCTGTTGGGTTTGGGGAAATGGATGAAGAGGAGGAGCTTCTAGCGGGAGACCTCCTTCAAGGTTACATCCTAGTGATTTCTCTCCGTCAAAGGAAGCTAGGAAGGAATTTGCATGGATATTGTCAGCCCGTTTATTTTTTCCATTTTTACTTTAGCTCATATCCAGAGTTAAAGCCGTGTCCTTTGTGCTGTCAAGCTTTTTCACACCTCTTGTGAGCGCTGCGTCCGTAGTGCAGTGGAGAGACTGTTGTATCACCTTGAGAAGATGTGCTGCAGCGGGCAGAGGAAACGAGAGGTTAAGCCCAAGACACCCAGAACGGGCTCCTCTGCTGCTCTCTCTCTCTTGTCTCATTGTGCACATTAAACTTTGATTTGGGTGTGCATTTTTAGCCCCAAATGGCCGCAGTGGGGCTGCGGGAAGGAAGCGGGGTTTGATCTGGTTGTGCTTTCATCATTCTGTACGGCTGCTGTTGGGTTTGGGCACGGATCCAGCCCAGCTCTGCCTCTGATGCCCAAATATACACATAGATACGTGCCGTGTGACTGCGCTGGATGCACAGCGAGCACTTTAGAAGGCACCTGCTACAAAACCAAACAAAAACAAATCCGAAAACATACCCCTTGCCTTCCTGAACATGGAACAGCCTTTGAGCCAGGGAGCTTCTTCATGGGAGCTGCATTTCTGGAAGCAAATCTGCAACCTTCTGTGTTTTACAGAATTTAATTTATTGCTGAGTCCTTTTGGGAATGTGTGTGATCAGATCCAAGTAGTACTAAAAAACAAACAAACGTGGGGGTCTAAAAACTGGGTTCTTAAAAGGTGTGGCAAGACTTTGTGGAGCAGGTGTCCCACCTGGGACCTCTTGATTTCAGTGTCCAGCTCTAGGGGTGATAACGTCCCTGCCTTTGCCTGTGTTGCTGGGGTTTAAAGTAAGTTTTGTTGTTAAATCTTTTTATGTCTTACAGTTTTGCGTGTGCTCTTTGCTGGATCCTCAGACTGTTATTTTACGGGATTGCTGAGTGTAAAACATGGTAGATTTTGCAAGCTGCTGTTGTAGATGGGCCATCTCACTGAGAGCTGGGAAATCTTGTTCCTCTCTCTGGCTGAAGCTTTTTCAAAACACACGTGCACACGAGCTTCTCGTTTGAATCGTGCAAGTTCTGCAGTCATGATTTCTGCTTCAGGTCTCATTTATCTGCTGCTTTGCAGCTGGTTGGTTTTTTTGAGTGTTGTGTAGGCAATTCTTGCTGCAACAGAAGAATGAATTCCTGTTTTAATGGCAGCTCTTTGTTGTCTTCATGGTTTTGCCATTTTTTCTTCCATATAAAAATGTATGTGCAAGGAAATTGGGTTTGATTGTGCTGAGTCTGGGTAGCAGACCCAAGGAGAAAGAGCTCTGTCCCGTTGTTTTTCATCTCAGTGGGTTCCAAAGTTTGCCACCGATCCTTTGAGGCCTGTCCCTGCTGCCTTCAGATGAAGCCTTTGGTGCTGGTGCTGCTGATCCTGCCCCTGAGCGCGTGCTGGCATGAAAAGGAGAGTTTGTTGTGCCAGAACTTGATATGTAAGAGTCATTTCCAGTAAAAAGCATTTCTGTGTCTCCATCTTACTGCAGAGAAATTCACCAGAGTGTTGCTGGAGCAACAGCAGGACCGAGCCCGGCGGGAGCAGGAGAGAATCCGACTCTATTCAGCTGACCCTTTTGATCTGGAGGCACAAGCCAAGATAGAAGAAGACATAAGGTAGAGAATAAAAGCTGCTTGTGGGCTCTGGAGGTTTTTGTGGTGCTTTTTTCCACAGGGTGCTTCCATCCATGATGCTTTTTCCATGGAGGATGCAAGGAGTGTGATTAGATCTGGTCTTAAGATGCCTGCAGGGGAATGCTCTGGTCCACCTTTGCGTGTGGGAAGGTTGGGAATCGGGGACACGTAGGCTTACCCCATCCTTTAGATGTCTCCAGCTGAGTCCAGACCATGAGGAGGCAGCATGTGATGTCCCAGAGCTGTCCAAGCTGGTCTGCTCTGAAGGAAGAGCACTTGTGGAAAGCACTTAGAGATCTTAGATCCTCCTGAGGGGTGGAACTCGGCTGCTTCGGGTGTGTTTTGACCCAGAGAGCTGTGGTAGTCTCCAAGCTGAGCTCTGCACGGCAACGTGGCGCCGTTTCTCCCGGCTTCCTTTGAGATTTGGTTTTGCTTCCTGCTAATTGTTTTGTGTCTCTGGCTGATTCCCAGCTCTGAGCATCATCGCTGCTGTCAGAAGAGATGTTCTGTGGAAATATGTTCCGCTCGTCAGCGCTCGCTCCCTCTCGCTGTCTTCCAAATGTAATTGCATTGGGCTGAGGCTTGATTTCTTAAATTGAGTGATAAATCCTTGAGGCAGAACATGACTGGTGGCTTTTTTCCCTGATAAAGAAACGTCTTTCTGATACAGGCTCATGGTTGGTCATAACCAAAATTCATTTGTGATAAGTGTCGTTCTCGCGTTACGACTGACAAGGTGTTGGTGCCAGATAAATGCTTGGTTTAGCCATGCAGAGAAATAGACATTTGTAGACAGCAAAACACTGCTCGGAGGCACAGGAACGCTTTCCTTCTCCCACAGATGAGGGGACAGATAAATGGGATGTGTCCCGGGCTGTGCGGCTGCTGGGGAACAGTTTGGGCATCTGGCAGCCCCCAGATTTCACACCCCGCTTAGTTTCTCTGAGCTCCTTGTTTAATTACCCGTTCTCTGCCCAAGATTGATGGGAAACTATTGCAAATTTTATTTTGAGACACGTCTCTGCCCTTCAGGTGTGTCTTAGGTGGAGAGGGTGTTGAGCACAGAGAAAACAGAATAATGGATTTGACAAGAAAAAAAAAGAAGATTAGCCACTTATATATCCAATTTAAACTTAAATAATAAATGACAGGAGAAGGTGTGGCTCTGTGTCAGGAGTATCTGCAGCGGGACAGGCTGGCAGTAGGGTCAGGTCTCGGGTGCCATTAGCTGCTTTCCTTCCCCACCAAGGAAACCACGTCTACCCCACTTGCTGTGGGAAGGCTACCACGGTACAGAAGATGGATGAGAGAGGAGCCTGGGGTTTTTCCTCTCTCCCTACTGAGGAGGAAAAATGAAACGGCATCAAAATCAGAAGCCCTTCTCCCTTTTTGGTAGATAAAGCTATTTTGGATGCAGTCGCTACGGATACCCATCACTTCCAAGATACTGTAGGGGCTGTGATGGGCTTCTTGAAGAGCGTTGCTTCTGGAGGCTTGAATTTGCACCAAGGGCTTGTGCTTGTGGTGGTGTTCTTGCCGTGGTTGTGCTCACCTCCCTCGCTTCCTGTGTCTGGAAAGGGAAGATACCAGGGAAACCTTGGAGGATTTTAATGTTCAGCTGCTGTGTGGGATTCCAGCATTGCAGCTACTGGCAACATCTTCATGGTGTGCCCTCAGCGCTTTGTTTTAGAGTCAATAATAAATATGCAGGGTTTTTTTGCTCGCAGATTCTCCAGGTTAACCCTGTGGTGACAGGTTTGTGTTGCAGACAGAAGGTCGTCTGATGCTCTAGTGTGAGTTGGGCAGGGTGTGAGAAGTCTTTGTGACTGCTTGGGAGCGACTTGGTGTCTCTGGATCATTATTAGCCATCCCCCTGCTAAGAAGGCTGTGTTTAGCTAACGAAGGGGTCTTTGTGGTTTAAACACGCTGTGTGCAAGGTGAGCTGCAGCGGGTGGGATTGCTTCTGCCAGGTCCGATTGTGAGTCGGAGGGATGCTTATGAGATCTGGCTGATGGAAGGTCTGATTTTTCTCTCTCTTCTCCGTTAAATTCAGGCAACAAAACATCGAAGAAAACATGACGATAGCGATGGAAGAGGCCCCCGAGAGTTTTGGGCAGGTGGTGATGCTGTACATTAACTGCAAAGTCAACGGACACCCAGTGAAAGCCTTTGTTGACTCAGGTGAATTGCCCCATTTTCATCTCTTTCTCTGCATCCTCCCTCACTCCGAGGGAGACAGGAAATGCTCCAGGAGTTTTACTCCAAAATTCCGTAATAAAGCACTGCATTACGGGGTATTGAAGCACCTGATCAAAGCCTGAAACAGCCTTTTTTAAGGCAAACAGAGCAAACTGTTGTGAGAAGCAGTGGGCATGAGTGCTCAAACACCCAGATCAAGGCTGCTGTGAGAATTTCTGGGGCTGCGATGCCAGAGAGGTCACTGCCACACGGGTGTCTTATCTCATTTCACAGATGGGGGGATTTTGCATGCCTTTAAGGCCGTGCTTCCCATCCACAGCCTTAAAGGGGAAATACTTGGGGTTGTTCCAGCTCTATAGTAACGTGTACTTTACCGTCAGTGCTGATCTGTGTGTAAACAGTCAGTTTTACGCAGCGGGATTCACGGGAAGCCTTTCTGCCTTAATGCAGTTGCTGGTGCCACGTGGTTTCCCGGCTGCTGAGCGCAAGGTCTTAAGCCCTTCCAGGAGAGAATTTTCATTTGTGATGGGCTGTCAGGATTTAACGTGAATTCTCTTGCTGGTAGGTGCCCAGATGACCATCATGAGCCAAGCTTGTGCTGAAAGGTGCAACATCATGCGGCTGGTAGATCGGCGGTGGGCCGGCATCGCTAAAGGTGTGGGGACACAGAAAATAATTGGGAGAGTGCACTTAGGTAAGTACTGGGATCCTTTGGGCAGCTTTAGCGGCAGTTTGACTGCGTTCCTCACAATCTTGGCACCAAGGAGTGTCTGCTTTCACTGAATTTCACTGAATTTTTTAGAGTTGGAAGGGACCATAGAGATCATCTAGTCCAACTCCCCTGCTGAAGCAGGATTGCCCAGAGCTTGTCAGAGCATGTTACTCAGGAGCATCCAGGCGGGTCTTGAAAATCTCCAAGGAAGGGGACTCCACACCCTCCCTGGGCAGCCTGTTCCAGGGCTCTGTCACCCTCACCGTGAAGAAGTTTCTCCTCATATTTGAGTGGAACCTCTTATGTTCCAACTTGTGCCCATTGCCCCTCGTCCTCTCACTGGGGACCACTGAAAAGAGTCTGGCTCCCTCCTCCTTCAACCCTCCCTCCCTCCCTCTCCCTATTCTTTAATACTAGAATTGTGAGAAACTCCCACAGAGTCAAATAAAAGTGCATCTGCAATATGTTCCTTTGTCTCGGGCACAGTAATCTGGCTTCTGTCTCATTTAATGCTTTTTTAAATGCAATTACCTTAATACTTTTAGGTGAGGGAGTCCTCAGCTCAGACGATGTGTTCACTCTGGGTGCAAAAAACCGGGACTAATGTGAAATGGCAGGATGTTTCCTGTGTGGGGTGGGAGCGCTGGGCAGCAGGAGGTGCTCAGGAAAGGTTCCAGTGCAGCAGAGTGCTCCATGTTCCTTTGGGAAGAGAAGGCTCCCTGTGCTCTTGGGCGGGTTTTCTGGATGAGAGGAGATTGTCCTTAATGCCTGAAAAATCGATTCTCTTCACTGTTGTTGCTTTTTAGACTTGTGCTCTAATGAGCCATAGGCAGCTCGTGGAGCTCAGAGCGTTACAGAAGCAGTACTTAAGGCTCTAAAACAAGTCAGTTTTTAAAATAATTAACTTCTTGAGACCAAGGCAGGCTTGACAGTCCCCAGGGTTTGCACAGAGCTAGACTTTCTGTGACCCGAACAGTACGTCAGAGCTCTGGTTTCAGATTTGCCCAGGTTTGTGCAGACCTTTCCTGGGGATGGAAGAGCACAAAGTCGATCTGTTGTGCTGGAGCCTTGCAAGGTGGTAACTTCTCTCCCTTGTGTTTCAGCTCAGGTCCAGATTGAAGGGGATTTCCTGGCGTGTTCCTTCTCAATCCTCGAAGAGCAGCCCATGGACATGCTTCTGGGACTGGATATGCTTAAGAGGCATCAGGTATCAAAATCACTTTTGAAACAGCTACTGGCTCTCCCAAGTTCAGTGCAAAGTGCAACATAAACGCCTTGCCTGTGAATTCGTTGGGATTTTTCTGGGGAGAGTTGATGGTGGATTATCTTCCAGCCAGTTAGGAAAGAAGTACATACACTACATACATCCTGGAGAGCTGTAGGGTGTCTGGCTGCTCCCTGAAGCGTTTTGCTCTGATCTAAGATGCTCGGAGCTTTCCATCTGAATGATTAATTACAAATCAAGTCACACGGGGCCCTTTGCTTATAGCTGGTGCTCTTGGCTCACTTTGCTTAGGAACAGCTCGCACCAGCTATTGAAAATGGATTGTTTAACCTTGTTTCTCCTTTTTCTCTGGGAATGGCCTGACTCTTGTGCAGGCCCCTGATGTCTCGCTGCTCTTTCGCAGTGCTCGATCGATCTCAAGAAGAATGTCCTGGTGATTGGCACGACTGGCTCCCAGACCACCTTCCTGCCGGAGGGCGAGCTGCCCGAGTGTGCCCGGCTGGCGTACGGGGCCGGGCGGGACGACGTGCGGCCGGAGGAGATCGCAGACCAGGAATTAGCAGAAGCAATACAGAAATCCGTAGAGGAAGCAGGTACCAGGGAGAAGCCCAGTTGAAATATTAATCCCTGTAATTTTCCTGCTGTGGATCAGGATGTCTGTCAGCCATCCCCCTTTTCAGCTCCTGGGAGATACACTCTAACACAGCACCAGCAAATAAATGGTGGAGAGAAAAGGGCTTTATTCTTGCTCGTGGCCTCTAAACTGCGCTTCTCTCGTCCTTTCTGTACAGCTAAATCTGCATGAAGGCATTCGAGGGTGCTTGCTGTTTGATTTGGGCTCTCCTTGTAACTTCCTGCCCACTCTGCTTTTCTTGGCCTTTCAAGACATGGAGATAAATGGTTGTCTCTGTCACCCGTCCCCCTGGGTCGCGTTGTAGTGCCTGGGCAGGGACATGGGTCAGTTGGGTGGTGTTTTTAGCAGCTTTGTGGAGGCTTCAGCAAATCCTGCTCTTAATAGCTGCAGCGTATAAAAATAGAGGAGCTGCAGCAGTAAGTAACAAATCTCTGGGCAAAAGTTCATGACAATTTTTAGAAATTAGTGCTATTTCAGCATTTTTTTCCTTAAGAGTGGTGCTTGTGCTCTCGGAAGGTGAATTGCTGCTCTTAGAGATTTGAAAAGCAGCAGCTGAATTCACATCCTAATGAGTATCATCAGTCTTAAATGTGATCTGCAAAGAGAATTTTCTCCCTCCCCATAGATTTGTTCCCTGTGCCTCTGGAATCTGCAAATAGCTGTGAAGTGTAGTTAAGTGGAGATGCCAAAACAGCTGAAGGCTGAGCTATGAGCCAAACTCTCTGAAACTCAGCTTTTCTATGTCACTCCTCCCTTAGAAGCATATGCTTTTAATTGAAGGAAAGCTTCGTTATTTTTTTCCCCCACCATTACAGCAAAGCTGTGAATACCTCACAAAGGGTATTCCTTGGGCCTTCTCCAAAACTTTTAAAGATAACATTTTATATGCAAGTGTTTTATGGAGAGTTTTGGGTTTTACTCCTGATTTTTCCTCTGAAAGCACACAGTAAGGTTCTGCTTCCCACACATGTGCAAAACTCTTTGCTGGGTCATGTTTAAGCTGATCAAGTTGACTTTAATGTTTTTATTCCTAATTTTTTAAGACTCTAGCATGCCCATATTTAAAATTGAAGTGTGGTAGCCAGATTTAACCATATATATTTATATATATATATATATATATATATATAAACAGTTGTAATGCATTGAAGTTTTTCTTTAACACTTCCCAATTGCTGCTTGATAGCCCAATGAGTAAGCAGTGACTTTATGCAAATAACAATACATTAAAGGAGCACGGGGCTGCACTTACTGGTCCCTTTTACCAATTTTCTTCCTTTCTAAGAATATCAGTTTACCAGAATGTAAAAACCCCGAGAGGAAGGCCTGGCTTTAGTGAATCAGCAAGAAATGGTTTACATGTTTGGATTCAAAGCCAACTTTAAATGCTTATTAGCTTAAGTTACAGCAGGCAGAGAGAAACACCAACATAGATTTGACCTTGCCCCTGCTGGGTTTTGACACAGCAGAAAGTCGGATTCGGTATCTCGGGCTCGTGTCTCCTCACATAACCTGGCAGCAAGAAGGCGCAGATGTAAATATTAGTTCTTTTCCAGTTAAAACTTTGAACCTGATGAAGCCTGGGTTGGTTTTTGCAGTATCTTTCCATTTTGGGTGAGATTTTGCAGATATTGTAGCTGGTTGGACTTAGTTCTCTGCTGAAAGGGTCAAATAAAAAGCAAACCTCGGCCAAAAATATATGAGCCTTTACAATAAAAGCATTTTAGTCAAGCGCTTTAAAATGAAAAGTGCCTAAAATGACTTAAATCAAAGCTGCTTATGCACCAAATACAGTTCTGAAGTCCACGTGGCTTTGTTCAGACTAATCAGCGGTCTCTGGTTCTCCATCGACGCTGAATCCTAGAGGAATGTAAAAGATTTATGAGACTAGGAAATCCATTTTGTGTGTTCACTTAATGCTTGTAGAGCATCCAGGCATGAAGCTAAGGTAGGGCTTGTTTAGATTGACTGGGTGTAAGTCTTAGACCCGTTACAAGCCTCTGGCTCACAGGCTGTACCCTAAAGTGTCAGAATATTTATGTACAGCCTCTTCCAAAACTATTGAATCATAGAATTGTTTTGGTTGGAAAGGAACTTTAAGATCATTGAGTCCAACCATTAACCCAGCACTGCCAAACCCACCACTGACCCGTGTCCCTCAGCACCACGTATACCTGGCTTCTAAATCCCTCCACCACTGCCCTGGGCAGCCTCTTCCAACACTTGGTAACTCTTCCCATGAAGAAATTTTGCCCCATATCCCTCCTAAAGCTCCCCTGGTGCAACTTGAGGCCGTTTCCTCTTGTCCCATCGCCTGTTCCTTGGGAGAAGAGACCAACCCCCCCCTGGCTACACCCTCCTTTCAGGGAGTTGGAGAGAGCCAGAAGTCTCCCCTCAGCCTCCTTTTCTCCAGGCTGAACACCCCCAGCTCCCTCAGCCTCTCCTCACAAGACTTGTGCTCCAGACCCCTCACCAGCTCCGTTGCCCTTCTCTGGACACACTTCAGCCCCTCAAAGTCTTTCTTATCGTGAGGGGCCCAGAACTGGACACAGTATTCACTGCTGTTAGACAGTAGCAGGAAAACCAAGTGAAGGAACAGGAGAGTGGAGAAGGAGAGAACATAACACAGGACCAAGGAAGCTCAGCACCCTGTGAGGCCTCTGTTCTTTCTCAGCAGCTTGCATTTTTGCTGCCTTCTGGTAGATGGTACAACAGAAATCACTGCACACATCTGTAGGCTATTGAAGTTCTCTCTTTGAATGCACCTGGATTATTCTTGAGCTTTATTTAATCCCCCTGAAGCTCTCTTTAGTGAGCCTCATGATTGCTGTCAGCTGACTGGCTGGTGTTACCACACCTATGGAAAGGCAGTGAGGTGGTGGTGGAGTCCTGGTATGTTTTACTGTCACCTACAGTCACCTACATCCTCCACCTCTGCTTCGTTTATGTCTGAGAGCTTGCCCTTTTTTTGCCAATGTGCCATGTTTCCTACCACCACTGAGAAACTGCTTACAGAGGATTTACAGAACTGGCAGCAAAACTACAGTTGCTTTAGGAGGAGTAGTGTTCAGGTGCTTTACCCCATGTACAGCTTTTCACGCTGACAGCCTCAGTACAGGAAAGGCGCTGCCACCACAGACACAACTCAGGTTTTTTCCTGATACAGAGAGGGATTTATCCCTGATGGTGCACTTTGTGGAGAAGGGTTTGTTCCGGGTGTCAGCTGGATCGATGTTCCCGATGGGGCTGGGGTTCAGCTCCTGTTGGTACCCAAAGAGGAGGAGGATGAGAGTGGGTCTCAGGAGGAGGAGCTCTTGGCAGAATCCCAGCTACTTCTGCTGTCTAAATGCCTGCAAATCCCTGATGTGTTTGTCTGATCAGGCCCTTATTACCCATCCACTGAATCAAAACACAGTTCTGCTTCCTCTCTGAGAATTGGCCTGGGAGCCAAGAGCGGGAACATAATGCTACTGAGTAGAAACAGAAAAAGATCCCTGGTTTTCATCTGCATCCTGTGGCACAAGCCTTCTTGCCACCTTCATGAAAGATGAGCGGCCTGAAAACCTGCAGGATAATTCTGGCTTTTTAATACTCCAGAGTCACCAAGTCGTTGCAGCTGCATTAAGACGAGGTGCACAGCCAACAGAAGGGATCGCTCTCTGCAGCAGCTGCTCTACTTTATACCAAAGCTTTATCGATCAGAGGTGCAGTACTGCAGCATGTAATGCACCATTTTTAATTAACAGAGAATAAAGGAATAAGAAAAGGGCAGATTTCTTCCATGGAAGAACTCAAAGGAAATCCTGGCTGTGCACGTGAGCATGGTTAGCTGTCCCCTGGTCCACCAGGGTATCTGTAAAAGGGGAAAGACTTAAGGTAAAACAGTGGTATATGTTTAAGACCACTGAGTTTGGAGGCTTCTGGGAGGAGAAATGGAACTAATGCAAGAAATGAGGCAGCACAAAGCCTGGATATCTGACACTGGGCAGAGGAGGGCTTTAATGGAAGAGCAGGCACTTGCTCAGCAAAGGTCATGTTAGTGATTTAACGAGAGCACGAGAGCCGATACATTACCAAGATTAGACCATTAGCAAGATAAATTCACTTATTTAATCTGTCCTGATAACGAGAGCCAGTGTTTGGTGCCGCTGATAGAGATCTGCAGTTCATCTGCTCTCTGTGTGTGGAAAGAAACGTTGAACTGGGTTTGAGTGCCTGGCTGTCCCTTCGCTCTGCTCTCCCCAGCCTCGGGCAGCAGTTCCTTTGGGGAATTCCTGCCTTTTCCTCTAGGATCTTTATGGAATTACAGATGCTATGGGGTTGGAAGGGACCTCTGGAGATCACCCAGTCCAACCCCCGGCCAGAGCAGGGTCCACCCAGAGCAGGTCCCACAGGAACGTGTCCAGGGGGGGTTGGAATGTCTCCAGAGAAGGAGACTCCACCACCTCTCTGGGCAGCCTCTGCCAGGGCTCTGCCACCCTCACAGCAAACAAGTTCACAGAATCACAAAGTTGTCAGAGTTGGAAGGGACCTCTAGAGATCATCTACTCCATCTTTATGCTTCCCTTTTGCAGCAAGCTGGGGTTTGCTCACCTTCTCTTACCTGCAATGGCACTAGACGTCACAAGACAACAGATAATTATGTTGCCCTCTTAATTCTCATTTCCTAAAATGTGGCTCCTGAGTATCTTCAGCCACACAGAGAACAGACCAGTGTGGTGCTACGCACGTGCCTTGTGCTGCTTGTATTTTATTGGGTGTGTAGTATCACCCACAGACAACTCTGCAGTGCAGATAGCACAGAACAGCCTTTAAATTGTTCTCCAGCAGAGTTATTTTTGACTTTATGTAAGTAATTTCCCAGGCAGAGCTCTTGGAAGGCAGCAAGGGTGAGCAGCTCTTGCTGCTCGTACGCTGTCGTGGTGGAGGGTCGGGAGGGGAGCTGCGAGGCGGCAGGACTGGCACCGTGCATGGGGTGTGCTCTGAACGCTAACACGAGTTTGGTGTGTTTGTTTCCTAATCCAAACAGAACGTCAGAAGCCTTGATGCATGTAGTGTGTGTTTACTGCAGCTGGAGTGGGCCACAGACCAGGTATTTATAGCCATTGGTTTATAAGTTTTCGCTGCTGCAGTGGAAACTGGTTCTCCCGTGTCCTGACTCCTCTTTTCTTTCTGTCTTCTGCTAGAGAATAGTGACAAAGAAACTACCTCACTGGAAATGCCCTCATTACCAGCTTCTGATGGGTTTCAAAATCCAGTCCAGTCTTCAGGACTAAATTCCAAGATCTGTAATCCCACCAATCAATTACTTGATCGTTCTGTCTCTGCCCCTGCTTCAATTTGCTCACCCGAATCTAGCCTCGCAGAGCCCATTGATCCCAGAGCCGGCAAGTCTTTTGAGTCTCCATCTGAATGCCAGATAACCCCAGAAACAGAACATCCTCTCTTGTCACAGCATCTTTCCGATAACGCTTCCTTGGCAAATGCCGACCCTTCTCCCCAGCCGGGGGAGGCAACCTGTTGCAATCCAGCTTGCCTTTCACAGAAGACACTCAAAGAAACTTTTATTGCTGACAGTCTAAAGGAATGTAACGCTGAAGAACAAGACTGTGGTCAGGAACATCCTTTGGAAGTGACAAAAGAAAATAGTTTGGCTGATGCTGCGACTAAGCACAGGGAAAATACAGATACACGTCTGTCTTCAGAACAGGAGCAAAAGCATGAGCTTTCCATAGACCATCAGACATGCAAAGAACCAGAGAAGGAACATCTAGAGAAACAAACTGAGACAACTGACCCAGAACCTCCTGGCCATGTTGGTGAGGTTGAAGAACTTGTTGTGGAAGAAGCCAGCCATCAAGCAGGTCCTCCTGCGGAAACGAGAGGAGATGGACAGGAGAAAGCAGGTCTTCCCTGCGCGAAAGGGAGTATCCAGCTGTCAGCCTCCTGTAGCTGTGTGCACATGGAAGCCCTCATGGAAGTAGATGTGGTTGAGCAGCCTGTAGCTGAAGTGTACAGCTCGGCAAAGGAGCGGGAGCGACAGGCTGAGACCAGGAGTCTGTCTGACCTGAATTTGGACACCTTTTCTATGGAGGTGGAGTTGCTGAAGTCTGCGTCCTCCTCAAATGATCTGCTTTCCACTGCTGATGTCCCGCAGTCCAAAAGCACTAGTGAAATTCCAGCAAAGTATCATGAGTTGTCTGATTTGGCGGCTGAAGACAGCTCTTCCCCCTCCAGCATCCCTCAGCTGGACACGGATCCAGGAAGACCTTCAGAAGAGCCATGTTTCTCTCTAGCATCAGCCTTGAAGGAGCTGCACAAACTCTTGATTATCAGTCGGAAAGGAGAATGTAAAATCCTCGCCTCGGAAGAAGTCTCTCAGCTGGAGATGGCTCCCAGAGAGCCAGCAGCACAGCAGAAGGGGCTTTCTGAAGAGGAGCAGAAAGGCTCAGATCCCGCCAGCCAGGAACAGAGTTGTTCCTTCTGTGAGGTGAGGTCTGAAGGTGGAAGAGCAGAGGGGAAACAGCCTCGAGATGCTGACACAGAAAACAGCAGCCACGTGCAGTCTGCTCTTGGGGAAGGTGCTTTAGAGGGGCAGGAGTTTTCAGGTGAGAGCGATTTGGCCGTGGTGAATTCTGCAGCACCATCTGACTGGCAACAGAGCTCTGAGCAGGCGGAGGTTTTGGCAGAAGGTTATCAGAGCCCAACTTTGGAGCAAAACGCATCCGTTCCCTCTACCCCTGCTTTGGATGAAGGTGCACCTCAGGATTCTTGGAGCCCGTTCGCAGAAGCACCTGGGAGCAGCAGCAGTTCTGCTCCTGAAGGTCCGTGGCCGCTGGGTGGGTGTGAGGACCCCCTGCTGAGCCCACCCCCTGGCTGTACTGGCCGTAGCTCGGGTGCTTCTCCACCACCCACTTTCCCCGCAGCGGATGTCAATCGCATCCTGGGCGCTGGTTTTACCACACGGGAAGCTCTCGAGGCTTTGGAACGAGCGGGTGGAAACGCAGACCTTGCTCTTCTCATTCTGCTGGCCAAGAGTATCGTCGTTCCTACGTAACTGCAGAAGAGGTAGCTGACTGGGGTGTCTTTTCTTTTAAAGGACATATCTAAATTACACACCACAATGTACAAGCAGAATGTTGAGCCAGATTTTTTTTGATTATTTGCAGCCAAAGTAACTTGTCTCATCTGTTTTACTTGTTAGATTTGGCCTTTTAAAAGAAAGAAAACGTCCGAGCGTTCTGTGGACAGGATAGCTTTTAATTATGCATACTGGGTTAAAAATTGATGGTTTTATTTAAATGTACAACTTTAGAATAAGCTCCAATGTGACGAATAAAAAGCAGAAGCCATTAAGATCACCGCCCTGTCCAGCGCAAAGCAGAGTGTGAAGTGAACAGGCCGTGCCTGGGTGTGCAAGGGCCAAGGAGGTGCACGAGTCTGGTACAAACCACTTGTCCAAACGGACTCTGGGGATTTATTTTAGCTCTCTCCTGTGCTTTGTAACCCGGCGTGATGCTGGTGAAACCCTTATGGCAGCTACTCAAGGTATGTAGGTGCCCACAGACGTGTAACACTTTGCTGGAGGAGGGGGGGAGGGGGCTTTGGGAAGCGTGCGGTTTCGTGTGTGCACAGGGAAGGCCGATGCCTGTTTTTGCCAAACCCTTTTACGCTCTTGGGCCAGTGTGTTCAAGTTTACAACATGGGGATAGAAGAAGGGAAGGGATAGAATTTGGTGCTACCAAAACTCAAAAGGACGTTTTAACTTATTTGAAGATGTGCTGGTATTAATTGTAAGGGGGCGGGAGGGGAAAAGGAGTATTTTACCAATTTTTTTTCTAGCCTTGCCCACACCCTGTTCCCCCGTACGAAAGAAGGAGCTCAACCACTTGAAGGCAAAACCTTAACGATGAAATTGTTTAACAAACCAACTGAGTGTTACAGCTCTTAACCCCCCCGCTCTGCCCCCAGAAGAACGAACTGTTTGAGCGGCCGCGTTCTCTGTGCACCGAGCGGGGACGTGAGCAGAAGAATGAAGAAATCTGCTCTGTGCCCATTTCATCTCAAGGTTTGGGGATGACCGGCCGCCCAGCAGTGGAAACGCAAACTGCAGGAAGCCTCTAGCAGCTGGTGGGGTACTAATTTAATACCTCTTAACGAGTGAGGGCTCCCCAATAGGGTTTCTGAAACAAATGCACTGACGTGGCTTCTGCGTTAACAACCGTCGTGGCCTTCTGGGAAGTCCTTGGTGAGGAGCCTGGTGAGGACTCACCCAGGCTGTGCTGTAGGAAGCCCTTTCCAGATGCTTTTTTTTGGGGGGGGGGAGATGAACTACTTTTTGATGTTCTGCAGAGCCCCCAAAGGCTGTTGGGGAAAGGGGAAGGAAAGCGTGGCTGAAACACGATACCAAATTTTAAGTAGGAACCTTGACGTAGTCCCACATGCAAATCTTAGTGTCAAGTGTTCATCTTGAACTTTCTGCTTTGAGCTAAACCTGAAGCGATGGCTCAGCAGTGGCTGGAAACACGTTTTGTTTGTGGCTTTCGTTTGTTGTTATCATTGTCTCAGGCCTGTGTTTCTGGTGTTTTGTTTTCCCTGTGGCTTAGCAGATTGGCCCGCGTGTTCGCTAGGCTAGTTTTTCATGCAGGGCGGCGTTTAAAAACAACACGAATTTGGTTTCCTCTGAATTTGCAGGAGTTTCTGATGTCAGTGAGTGATGGGTGTCAGATTGTCCTTAGACGCTTGGGTAGCCAGGAGATCCTTTAAAGTAACGAAGAGCTTTAAGGTGTTCCTCTGTCTGTTGAACAGAGCTTCTGCACAAGCTGTGAAGGTACCAGCAAGGCCTGGGGCTCCCGGACACATTTAACTCATATCCCACCACTCGTGATGCCAGCAGCACCGTGTGGATGTAGGAACTCAGCTATTTGGGGAGCCCTTGTTGGAGCAGCATCGATTAATTCACTGGAGGGCTCTGTTCACATTGAGTTACTGAGGCAGAACTGCAGCTTTAGGGTCTTTGAGAGTTAATCCTGTTGAAGTTGTTTGCTTTTTGTTAATATTCTCCTTGCAATGAGCACCTCAAATCAGCAGAAGCCCCCTCTGTGAAGGGTAACACTTGGGCTGGTACAGGAGGTTGGTGTCATCAGATGTCTCTCTAGAAGCCTTAGGAAATAAGATCTATTAGACCCGTTTCCCATCTGCATCCGATTCCCTGTCAAAAGCAGCAACGAGAACAAAGCTCCCAGCTCCTGCATCCAGAGCATCCTCGGTCTCAACAGCCCAATCTGTTCCCAATTCAGGCACCGGGGTCTCAGTGAGGGGGTCCTGGGAGCAACCCCCACCTGGTACGTGGATCCCAGCTGCGGGCTGGCCCTCTGGGGTGCAAGGGAGCTGAATTCGTGCCCTTCACCTGCAGGTTCATCCTCTGCCAGCTTCTTGAAGCATCAGATGTTAGCCATCCAATGTTATACCCTTCCCATATTTACACTTTATGTTTTTAGAAGCAATTGCTAAGAGCTAGACGAAGTACTGCTGCTTTGCACCAAACTGGGCAAAGGCTCCTAGTTTTACGGCCACGTTTACTTAGACTGCATATACAGAATTTATGCTATAAAAGCTTTAGAGCATCAGCCAACTTTGCTTCAATGCTCAGTTTTATTCTTTGTCAAATAGAATTTTTGAAATCTGCCTTCTGCCAAAGCTGTACTGAAGCATTTATCAATAGTGCTAGAATTTCCTGGGTAACTTTCTCTGAACTGCTAGAAACAAAGCCCAACCCCCAATGATAAATCCTTTTAAAACTATTTTATCAAGTTGGTCCAAGCCTGGTGATTTAAATCTCTTGGTTTCAGAGCCTTGCTTTGAGTGAACGGCTCAATTAGAGAATCATTTTTTTAGGAGCAAGATTTATGTTGGAGAAAATCTGGGCAGTGGTGAGTATTTGAGGTTAAAATAAAATGTAATGGAACATGTATTTAGCAAATGCTGTCTAAAAGTTGTCTTCTGTTTTCATGTGCGTGTGTGTCCTCTCTGCTGTGTGCACACATCCTTCGCTCAGCCTTTAGCAAGCCCTTAATGAGTCTCTGCTTACCTGGCTCATAAAGCAGGAATACTTCTATTTTAGCAGGGATTTTAGCAGGACAGACTGCTTTTGGCTAGAGAGGGGGGTAAAGGTAATGCCAAAAGCTGTTCAGGTTTCCAAGGAGCCATGTACCCCAGCCAAAAATAAGGCTTTTGACTCTTTTCTCTCCCCCTCCTTGTTAATTACTGCCCCAAAGTACTAATGTCACACCAGCTCAGCAAAACGATTTCAGTATGAAAAGTCCATCTGTAGAACACAAAGAAACACTCAGAAGCTGCTTCATAAAGATGCCAGTGGCAGTGGGGACCTGGGTGGGTCTGTAGAGCTCGTTTCTGGGTGTTTCCCGAAGCCCCTGTGGTCATGAACCTCACTGTTGGTGTCTGAGATGTATTCTGATCCTTAAAGATACTCGTAGAGCTGGTTTCTGGGTGTTTCCTGAAGCCCCTGTTGGTTTCTGAGATGTATTCTGATCCTTAAAGATACTGAAGGAATTTATTCAGCCTCTTGCTGTTTCTGTACCCGAGGCTGTGGGTGAGTTTAGAGGTGATGTTTAGTGAACTATCGACGTTTCTGGGCACAGATAATTCTGATGAGAGGAGGGAATATTTCCTGGTGCTGGTCCCTGGCGTGTTTTACCTGCTGCAGGACAGAGCTGAGCTACTCTGCGTTATCCTGACAATCTCTGCCTCCTTGTATGGTCAACTTTCCACGTAGACTCTCAGTCTCCAGGACTGTTAACCTTGTACCTCCTTGATGTGTTCCCTTCTTCCTGTCTGTGTCTCCTCTTCTTGCTGTCTCCTTTCCTCCAAAGTAGCAATATTTAAGTGTACTTCCAGAATGCTTAACTTCCAGATAAGTTTTCTTTCAAACACTATGCCATTTTACAAATAAAAGAAGGAGCGGATCCTAGAGGTTTCTTCACCAGACTTGGACTCCTTGCCAAATGGCTCCCCAGAACTCTTAACGTGAATTCAAAGTGGAGAAATGGAGAGGTGTTTTTGCCTGCCTCTCTCGGAGGTCAGCTTGGGAAGCGGGGTCGGTTTCGTGTACATCATTCCCTCTAACAGCGTTCAAGAGATTTCTTCCTGCACTGTGTAGACGTAGCTTAGTCCGTGACCCAAATGCGTAGCCGTTTGGGTTACTACTCTTTTGACTGATGCTTTTTAGATTAAAAGAGTTTGTTTCAAACTCACTTGAGGAACTTGAGGGAATCAATACTCAGGAATCCTAAAGCTGGTTGCATTTGTGTCATTTACTCTTCTGGGCTGAACATACCGCGCTTGTCCTCGCAGGTGGCTGAAGGGAGGAGTGGTTGTGTCATCAGAGAATGGGATGTGGTTCTGCCCAAAGTAATACACACTTGATTCTTTTTTTGATTTTATTTTTTTTTTTAATATTGGGGGACTGTTTATCAACAAAATTGATGTGTAAAAAAACAAAAAATTTGATATTTAAAAAAAAATGAATAAACACTTTATCATAATGTTGCCTGATTGGTCTGTCTGTATTTCTGAGGTCAGCATCTCTGCGCTCACATCCTCTCCTGGCTTTTTTTCCAAAGCCAATAGAATTTCCTTAAGGTAAATGTTGCCATATTGAACATAAATGAGTAGAAATCTGTGGTTAAAATGATTCCAGTTAGCAGGGCCTGGGAAAAGGCATGAGAAATTCATGTATTCCCCTTCTACAGAGATGGGCTGTTGACTCCTTCAGGCAAGACTTGAAGTGGAAGAGCATTAGGGTGCAACACAAAACATAGCACTTGGCCAAAGCAGTGTCTGCTGGAAAATCGAGTGAGGCACTCCTTGTGTCTCCTCTGGAAATCCCTCATTTCCACCCACATCAGGAGAGGGTTTTATTTTTCTGGAGCTGGCAGCTAATCTCTTGGGACATCAAAAAAATGGCATTTATATCCCTAGAAAGCTTAAAAGTCCCGTTCTTTTAATGTCATGTAATCACAGAATGCTATGGGGTTGGAGGGGACCTCTGGAGATCACCCAGTCCAACCCCCGGCCACAGCAGGGCCACCCAGAGCAGGTCCCACAGGAACGTGTCCAGGGGGGGTTTGAATGTCTCCAGAGAAGGAGACTCCACCACCTCTCTGGGCAGCCTCTGCCAGGGCTCTGCCACCCTCACAGCAAAGAAGTTCCTCCTCATGTTTAGATGGAACTTCCTAAGTTCCACTTTGTGCCCGTTCCTTCTTGTCCTGTCACTGGGCAAGACACTGGGCAAGACACTGGAAAAAGCCTGGCCCCATCCTCCTGACACCCACCCTGGAAGGATTTAGAGGTGTTGATCAGATCCCCCCTCAGCCTTCTCTTCTCCAGACTGAACAGACCCAAGTCCCTCAGCCTTTCCTCAGCACAGAGATGCTCCAGGCCCCTCAGCATCTCTGTAGCCTCTGCTGTCCCCTCTCCAGCAGTTCCCTGTCCTTCTGGAACTGGGGAGCCCAGAACTGGTCCCAGTGCTCCAGATGGGGCCTCCCCAGGGCAGACCAGAGGGGGAAAGACAGTTTTCTTTAGGCACTGTGTACAAATGCAAATTAATAACACTGTTGTGTTCACGTTTGGGATTGTCCCAGAGTCTCTTATTTGAGGCATTAGCACGTTTAAATCTGCAGTCAGAGTTGGTGTGTTTTCCTTGGTTATCTTTTATGGATGCTTTAGGAGTAGGACAAGGAACCCCCCCCCAGAGGTTTAGAGTTTAAAAATGACAGATGAAGTTTTCTTTGAGTAGTCACACGGGTGCAGGGGCTGCATTAAGAGCAGGAGCCACAGAGGTTTAGAGTTTAAAAATGGCAGATGAAGTTTTCTTTGAGTAGTCACATGGGTGCAGGGGCTGCATTAAGAGCAGGAGCCGGATGCAGAGAGGTGAGCGTTGCATCATAGCGCTTCCTGCACCCAAATAGCTCAGAGAAGGGTCAGCAGCAGAAAGGTGACTGAGCCATCACTCAGAAATCTCACAGTGCCACTCACTGGGGTCCGCTGCCGCGTTTCTCTGCAGTCTCACGGCTTCGGCACGTGCCTGGTGCTGCTTTGCCAAGTGAACCACTTTTGGGGCAAGTTTGTCACCAGGATGGGATTTGGGAAGTCCTGCTGGCCAGCCTGGCTTTGGATTGACTCCGGCCTTACATCCATTATCTGCTCTGCCTCTTCTTTCCCTGGGGGTAAACTGGGGGCGAAGGACCCCCTCAGACACGCAGTCGCTCCACTATGACATAATTGACAACCAGGCTCACTAATTACAAGGTGCTGTCATGATTGCCAATAAAAGCACTGAGTCACACAGACAGGGATGCGAGTGGTTGGTGGTTGAAATCCCAACAGGAGCTGCCAAAGGAGTGTCTAGTTCCGAGTCCCTTTGTTAACAAACAAAAATGGGAAGCGCTTTAAAACCAAAATACTTGTGCCTGGTTGTGGAACTGGAGGTGTGCTTACAGGGCTGCATGTTGGTCGTGAGATACAGGGCTTGCTGTTTTCTTATCCTGATAAACCTGTGGTGTTTTTTCCTTGTTTCTTTCCAAATACTGACTTTTTTCTTCCCTAAATCTATACTGCTACCTCCTAAAATGTTTCTTGTGTCACTTTAATTTCCTTCTGGATCACTGGCAACCTTATTGAAGTACCCTACGACTGCCCTGCATGATGAGGTATGTATCTTAGGAGGACGCTATCTTGTGCTTAATGTGCTTTGCTGCAGGAGCTGAGACACACCTCAGTGACTCATTCTGGACTTCCTTGCTCTCCTTCTTGGCTCCTCTCTGTGGGTAATGTTCTTCATGCTAACTTCCAGCTGGAAATACTGCACAAAATATTTTCTATATTTTTTATATCCTGCCCCAAAGAGTTAAAAAATCTCTCGGGAGGAGGGTAGGAAGCAGACTAGCATGTAGTGGGAGCAGGATGGTGCTTCCTGAGCCTGTCCAGGGAGAACTGGAGCTGTTGTTAAATGCTAGGAGCATAATTGTGGTCAGCATGTGGTGGGAGCAGCTCCCTGAGCCTGTCCAGGGAGAACTGGAGCTGTTGTTAAATGCTAGGAGCATAATTGTGGTAAATCCATAATTGTGTGGTGGGTGCTATAAGGGATTACAACCAACTCATTTTACTTGCAGTAAAGCAGGGACTTGGGGCATTCAAAACATCCAGGAGACCAGCAGGAGACTGGGAAGTCTGGCAAACCATGGGATTACACAGGGGTATGCGTGGGGCTGCCTCTAAGTGCAACAAAGAACACAAACAGATGCCCTTACCTGCTGGCTGGTGCTGTATGGCTTGTTTTATTTATACCCTGAGTGTGTTTTAAATCCTACAATTCACCAGTAAACTCAAAACCGTGCATTGGATCTGTTGTGCTTTAAAAGGGCTGACTTTGGCTTGTTGCTCTCCCCGGTCACTTCTTGGGAATCAGGCTTAAATATTTCATGCTCAGGACAGCTACTCAGTAGTTGTGTGTGCACTTTAGTGGGGTGGTTTCCCTCTCATCCCCCCCCAGCTCAGCAGGGGAGCTTTTTACCTTCTTCCACAGCCAAGACAAGTGCCGATCCTTGTTGGGCTCTCACTCAACACAATGCTTCTGCCTCATTAGTGGGGAGCTGAGAAAAGAAGAAGAGTTTTATGGTTTGGCTTGGTTTTAACCCAAGCACTAAGGAGCTGCGCTCTCTTCCCTTCCCTGAGAGTTTCTCCCATGGTTTCCAAAGCTGTTAAACTGGCTAGGCCATTCCTGCCACTGCGGGGAAGGAGAAGGCTCAGCCCAGCGTGTTTTCTCCATCCCAGACCCTGCTTGGCTCATCCCTTCCCAGCCAGCAGGTTATTCAGGGAGGAAGGGGTGGGAATGGTGCAGGGAACGGGCTCCTCGCCGGCTTTTCCTTTTTTAATTGCTTTTACTTTCGGTTCCATTTTCAGTTGTCAGGGTTGGGTGTTGCAAGGGCAACAAGCCAGCCCCGAGGGACAGCCCCATCAGGGCCCTTCGCCCGAATCTCAGGAGAAAGGTTTATTATTAATTTTATCTTTTATTTCTCCAACTCTCACCTCAGCGCAGCCTCTGCACCGACTCCCAGCTCCGTCCTGTGATGGCGAGCAAGAATTGTATTATTTTTTTAAGGATCTTTTCCCAGTGATGGAGGTTTAAGCGACACTTTTCTGGCCCATTTCTGGCTCCCAGGCGTGATGGAACCAAGCCCATGGACCTTAGCAGAGAGATGGGTCCCCTGTTCAGCTCGGGGCACCTTGGTGGGGGGGTGCCATGCGGACTCCCTCATTTTTCCCTCACACCACTGAATATTTCTCTTTCTTTTGAGGCTAGCCCCTGCCAGCTCCCCAAAGGACAGCAAAGCTGCGGGCTGGGCCCTGGCTAGGAGGGCTGGTGGCCACTTTACCTGGTGTCCCCAAAGTGGGGTCTGCTGACCCCCCTGTGTGTCCTCTCAAGGGGCACCCAGCACCTTCCACCCCTCATGTCCCCTCAGGGGACCATGAGGGACCCAACACCATCTCCCCCACCCCCCTCACATCACCTCGCTGTGCCCAACACCATCTCCCCTTGCTGAACACGGGGCTGAGAAGGACCCAACACCATCTCCCCTTGTGTCCCCTCACTGTACCAAATGCCACCTCCCCACATGTCCCGTCACTGTCCCCAACGCCATCTCCCCACATGTCCCCTCACGGTGCCAACAGTCCCCTCAACTGGGTCATGAAGGACCCAGCACCATCCACCCTCATCCCCCTCATGTCCCCTCACTGTCCCCAATGCACTCTCTCCTCACGTCCCTTCACTGTGCCCAAGACCATCTCACCTCGTTCCCTCCGTGGGGCATGAGGGACCCAGTGCCACCTCCCCTCACATTCCCTCATTGTACCCAGCACCATCTCCCCTCACGTTCCTTCATTGAGCTCAGGGCCATGAGGGACCCAGCGCCATCTCCCCTCATGTCCTTTCGCTGTACCCAACACCATCTCCCCTCGTGTTCCCTTACTGGGTCATGAAGGACCCAGTGTCATCTCCCTTCATGTCCCCCTCATGTTCCCTCACTGTCGCTAATGCCATCTCCCCTCACGTCCCCTCACTGACCCCAAGGCTGTTGAGGGAGCCGGCACCATCTCCCCTCACGTCCTCTCATGTCCCCTAACTGTCCCCAGCACCATCTCCCCTCATGTCCTACTCCATGTACCCACCACCATCTCCCCTCATGTTCCCTCACTGGGTCATGAAGGACCCAGTGCCATCTCCCCTCATGACCTCTCATGTCCCCTCGCTGTTCCCAGTGTCATCTCCCCTCAAGTCCCCTCACCGAGCCCAGGGCCATGAGGCACCCACCACCATGTCCCCTCCTCCCCCTCATATCCCCTCACTGTCCCCAGCGCCATCTCCCCTCATGCCCCCTCACCACCTCATGAGGGACCCAGCACCATGTCCCCTCATCCCCCTCATGCCCCCTCACTGCCTCATGAGGGACCCAGCGCCATGTCCGCCCCCCTTCCTTCCCCCGCCCCGCCGCCTCCGTGAAGGACCCGCGGGCGCCATTAGCGGCGGCCCGTCGGGGCGGTCCCCGGTGCCGGCTGCCGGGGGCGGGCATCGCCGTTCCCCTCCCTCCGTCCCTCCCTCCGTCCCTCCCGCCTGACCTCAGTTCCTGGCGGAGCGCGGCGCCCGTCACGAGTGCGGCTCCGCTCCCTCCTCCCCGCGG